GGAGCCTATCCCAGCTGACTCAGGGTGAAGGCAGGTTCACCTGGACAGGTAACCAGTCTATCACAGGGCTACACTTAGAGACAGACAACCAAGCACACTCACATTCACACCTACGGACAATTTACAATCACCAATTAACCTCAGCATGTTTCTGGACTGTGGGAGGAAGCCGGAGAACCTGGAGAGAACCCACGCTGCACGGGGAGAACATGGAGACTCCACGCAGGAAGATCCTGGATGTGAACTGAGACGTGAACCGGCGACCTTCTAGCTGCGAGGCAACGATGCTAACCACTGATCCACCTGCAGCCTGTGTTGTCAATTGATGCAATATAAATAAAATTGAATTGAATGTAAACAGCACCCTGAATTAAGAAGCAGCTTGTTCTTACACATCATCTGCTGGTGGCATGCACGGACATCTATCTTGGCTCAAAGTGGTGATGAATCTGAACTACTTTTTTCAGAGCTGGGATATTTAACAATCCTGCCATGTCACAAAAGCCGTGGTTTTGTGTTATCAGACATTTTATATTAATGTTGTTTACAGCTTTATTCAGACATGCAGGGACTATTACAGACAGAGTGGTGGCATGCTGTGATATTTGGCATGCAGCATGCATTATTAGACACAACACGACGGTAAATAGACTGTACTACAGCCTGTAATGCTGCCTGGTGATCTAATCCTCTTTGTGGAGGAAGAGCAGCTGTCTAGTATCAGACAGCTCCTCAGCCAAAACATTTCTGCTGCTTATGTTGTTCTCCAACAAATGTAAAAGAATTCCTTTTCTCTGTCAAAAGTCTGAATTGTTAGAAGGTCTCGTCCAGTAGGACTGCTCTGATATGAAATTAACAAATGCTAGAAAAGGACAACAACAATAAAACACACCTTTAGTTTGTGAAAATGGGATTTCTAAATTAGTCAAGCTGGTAAATCTGAGTTCCCTAAATCAGAAAACACTAGAGCGACATGGATTTACAGGAGTCACAGAAAACTAAAGAAAATTCCATGTTGAGGCATTTTATCTGTACTGATGCAGTGAGTTAGACTGTTTGAGTGCATTCATGTCCTTCAGGAACGCTTGTGAGCTGCACAAAACTGTTTATCATCTAAATTATTTCTAAAAGATGAACGAGATGAGGAGCGATTCTGAGTGACTGCATTGTTCTAACTCATCTTACATCTGCTTAAGTTCTTCTTCAGAAATTGCACTTAAAATGTTTAAACAAGCTTTTCTTTCAAGGATATTTTATAAGATTTTGGTGATGATTCACTTCTGCTGCTGGTTGAGCGCTCTGCAGGGCTCCATTAGCCGCTCAGGGGCAGCGTTCAATGTTGTTCTCCAGAAGTGTGCACAAAGCAAACATGTGATTTTATAAAGTAATTCTTTCCTCTTTATCAAACTGAAAATACTTCATAACGAGTCAAAGCCTGTATTCAGCGGGAGTTTGGTGAAGCAACACGGGTTCTGCTGTCATGTGTTTAAGGAACACATTCATCAGGTCTTTAAAGAGAGAAACGGTGTCTGCACGTGTTGTGTTTTGCACCGCTTAATAATTCAACGTTAATGATTGAGTTTGTCAGGAGATTAAGACTCCTCACTAAGCTCCCAGGGAAGGACGCTTCAAACTGCAAAACTTCATGCAGGCAGGATAACAATGCAATTGATTTTCAGATTTCTGAGTTAATTTCCAGCTCAATCTTTTTCTCGTTCGGTTTTTAAAGCCCTTGGAATGCTCCCATTTCCACAACAGAATTATTCTAACTGGATATTTACATGCTGTCACTCTAAAAGGCTTTGCACTTGTTTCACTGTATATGCAAAGAGTGAAATGGATTAAGTCTGTTCTCCTGGGACGACACCGTCTTCTATTATCACTGTTTAAAAAATAAATAAATGACAAAGGCCCCGTGAAACCAGAAAGCGTCACAGTAAAATCAGTCCTACTGCTTTCACAAAACAGCACCTTCTAGGTGCAGACGGATGTTTGGAGGAATGGCGTCGCTACCGGTGATCTGCTGCAGACCGGCATCCTGGCAGATCGGACTCTTTCCCAGCGGGCTGACACCGCTGTCTTTTCTTGTTGTTGTTTGTTTGCTTGGTTTTTGTCAGTCCACTGATATTTTAAAATCTTAATTAAAACACCCTCTGCATTCGGGCCCAAAGCCTTAAAACAGCACATCTGCAGAAAAAAAGTGCCAAAATGGAGAAGATGAAGCGAGGCTGCCAATGTGCAAAAACCACAGACGAGTTTCTGCAGCATCTTCTTCAGCAGATGTGGACCATGGTG